AACATTTTTTCTCCATTGTTCCCCACTGTGAGAGTATCTGGTTAATACATGAGCCCCTCTTATGTCTCTGTCCACATGGGTGTTTTCTGTCACCAAGCCCCCAAGAAGTTGAGAAAAAGTGATCCCATGTAAAAAAACTGAGGCCCATAAAGCAAAAGTGACAATCAAAACTATAATCCATGATTTTTCTGATCCTTTGTCCCGGGTTTACTACACTACACAGAACTTCCCGAGCATAAGAAAGTGAAGGGGAAACAAAAATTCTTACAATTTCACCCCTCTATCCTATTGTGGGGTGGAGGAGAGTATTTCCTGGTCTTGCTTCCAATTGCACTCTTACCTCCCTTAAAAATACTTATTCTTACTTATTCTACCTCCAAGATTCCAAGAGTGATGCCCACATTAAGACTATTAGTGGGAAACCCCTGGATGTCCCTTCTCATCAACCTCAACAAGAGGAATACCAGAGAGAAAGACTGGGCAGTGGTGGGTTTGCCTACCCTATTCCATGAAGCCTGCATTTTCCCTGGAGATTCTCTTAACAGAGCAAAGGACAGAAATGACCACCACCATTTCTGGTCTTCACAAAACTTCCTACGGGGAGGACAGGTGGGCCCATGAGAGACCCAACTTCATATCTATCCAGGAACCCCACCAAGGGTGCTGTTCTGAGCCAAGATCTGACTGAGCCAATAACAAATCTTGGGAAAAGAGATATGGATGCATAGGGAGAGAGACAGCCAAGCCAATGGCTGATACTCCACAGACCTTGTAACAACCTTGACATCAAAATCCCACCTGGATCCAGTGACCATGTTGAATGCAACTGCCAAGTATTTTGTCTTTATTTTTTGCAAGCAGCATCAGTGCATGATGCAACAAAAGTCAAAAGCATGGAGGTAGAAATGCCATTCACCCAAGAAAGGGTGCAGTTTGGTCCTTAGAATATGAATCCTCTGACACTCTCCTTTCCATAAGCTGAGAAGAGAAGATCCTCCTGGGTGAGCTTCTCTCTTGAAGAAGAGAAACTGGGCAGCTCCCAGGAGCCCAGCTCTTTCTGGGAATTTATTGCCACAAGTTTAGGTAGGAACAAGGAGGGTGGTGGTATGTATAGTGGGCTGGGCCTCCCCAGATCTCCTACTGATTGCAACGGGCCACAAGGTAGACATAAGAAAACGATACTACACGTACATAGAGACATAGACTTTGCATCTACCATTTGGAAGAAATCCAATAAACACATGAGGGGACAGTGGATTCTGAGTCAATTTCAAGGCCTGGGAAATGGTCACTAACCACAGCCTAAGAGAAGCTGGCACTTCTAAGTAAGGCAGAAGGCCTAAGGCCCAGCACTCTGTGCCTGGCACCTCCTTTCCTCCATTCCTCCCTCCTCCACACAATGGCTAGGAATTAGGTTAGAGGTGTCAAAAGCAAGAAGCAGAGGTATCCAGACCCTTAGAAGTGAGAATTAGGATCAGACATGGAGAAGGGAGAATAGAGTGAGTGGACCCTCCTCCCTCACTATTAGCTGCTGGTCTTCCTCCAAGCAGTCTTGACTCAAGGAGTGCAAAAGGACACACTAGCCCTTAACTCTATTAACAGTTACCTGTTCTTTTTAAAAATATATATATTGATTTTAGAGAGGAAGGAAGAAGGAGAGAGAGATAGAAACATCAATGATGAGAGAGAATCATTGATCAGCTGCCTTCTGCACACCCCCCTACTGGGTATTGAGTCTTCAACTTGGACATGTGCCCCGATGGGGGATCAAACCGTGACTCCCTGGTTCATAGGTCCACGCTCAACCACTAGAGCCACATGGGCTGGACAACAGTTACCTCTTCTAAACAAATCTTGATGTAACCTGGGTGAGAGAAGGTTAGAGGACAAGGGAGCTGAGGTCTCTCAACTGAAAAGCAAGCCCCACCTCCGTTATTCCCCTTAATTCTGTGAGGCCACATCTAGGGTGTTGACATAGCCATGGCCCCTGCCTCATTGTTCTCTGTGATACAGTGACTCAGCTGAGAGCCTCCCTGAGGTGGTGGTAGAGGTGGCAGTGGAGGCGGGGCAGAGGGTGGAGCGCCGTAGCACCCTCGGGCCCGATTGGAAGAAGCCCGACTGGAAGAAGCTGGACTTCCAGGGTCCCAACAGCCTTCTAGGGCCTCCAGGCCACGGCATCCAAGGAAGAAGAGATTCTTGAGCATGAAAATGGAGAGGGGCTGCTGGTAGCTCACCACCAGGAGGCAGCGCAGCGCCAGCAAGGGCACGTCCACCAGGCAGCCGCCCAGTAGGCGCAGAAGGCGGCTGCAGCTGCCAGGTCCAGGAGTCTGGTCCCAGGACAAAGCTGCGGCTGAGGCTGCTGCCGCGTTGAGTTCATACAGCCAAAGCACGGGCGAGGAGAGGGTGAGGAAGTAAACTATGATGAGCAGGTAACGAAGGTGTGTGGGGAGTGGCACGCGGCCTTCCAACATCAGCTCCACTAGGGTGAAGCTGTCAAGCAGATCCAGACACGTGCCTAGGAAACATCCCGAGGCGCGGTGTTGCTGGGGCTGCAGGATCAAGGGGCCTGTTGAACTCAGGGGAGTGCCCACCTCGCTGATGGCCCGCACCAAGCTGTAGAGCAGAGGCACCGACAGCGCCATAGTAAGGCGGAAGCCTGTGGTGCCCAGGGGTGCGTGCAGCTCAATGAGGTCCAGGATGGACGTGCCCAAGATGAGCACCACCTTCGGCGTGAAGGCGATGGAGTAGATGAGCCAGGCCAGGTAGGCGAAGGCAAACTCGCCCACCGCCTCAGCCGCCCCTAAACCACCCCCTGGACCTCCGGAGTCCCTGTGGCCACTGTGAGCCTTGGTCCCTGCTGCAGCCCCAATGGAAGCAGCGGGCAGGTGCAGGGGCGGCGAGGCATGATTGTGGTGCTGGTGATGGCTCCCAGCACTGCCCCGACGGCCCTGGCTGTTCTTGGCGAAGAAGATGGCCCAGCCCACCACCACCACCAGGTCGGTGGCAATCCAGGAACACCAGTACAGGTCGGTGACTGCGATGAGGTACAGGTCTAGTAGCCCTCCCTGTGCCAAAAGCAGCACCACGGACAGTGCCTGGTAGCCCCAACGACACCCCGAACTAGGGGCGCAGCCGCCACTGTGATGCTGGCCTCTGTAGTCTGGCGGTGCCAGGGCCTTGTGGCTACACCAGCAGCAGCACGAACAGCAGGAGGCGCCGCTGCTGGTCCCTGCGCCACCAGCCAAGCGGGCCCCGGGGCCCCCAACACTCCCGGCAGCACCCCCACTGAAGATGCCCCTGGCAGCACTCCCACTGACGTCCGCTGCTGTCATTTTGCAGGAGTAGGTGGGCGTGGAGGAGGGGGTGGCGGCCGAGGAGGAGAAAGCCACACGCGCTGCTGGGTCAGCGTTTGGGGCTAGGGGTCCCGCGATCCCAGCAGTGGCGGCAGTGGGAACCAGTGGTTTGCTTATACTGACGCTCTGGTTGTCGTTGTCCTCCCGCTCTGCGCCGGTGCTGCAGCTGGGGGAACCGCTGCTCCCGCCGCGGCTTTCCCCCACGCTGGTACTGGCGCTGGTGCTGGTGTTGCTGTCGCCGGAGCCTCTCCCGCCACGAGGGAAACCCCCCTGGAGAAAGAAGGGCTGCGACCCGGTGGCGGCTGGGAGCGGCAGGACGGAGCTGGACCAGGACAAGACAGAGACCGAGCGGGGATGGCTAAGAGCTGGGTGCATTGTCCTCCGGGAGGCTGCCAGCTGTACCCTGCCCGCCTCCCCAGCTTCTGGAGTCCTACCTGGGTCGGGCAGCAGCGAGATCTGGAGTCGCCCGGACTGGGCCAGCTTGGGTTGATGACCAGCTGACACCACCACCCCAAGTCGCCACCTGCAGGGCGGAGGGGGGAGGGGCAAAGAGGAAAGGGAGGCTGGCTTCTGGGAAACCAGGACTGGATTCAAGGGGGGAGGGAGTAGGAGGAGAGACCGGAGAAAGCATGGCTGGCTGCATCAGCTGGAAGAAAAGGGGGAGGGAGAGTTGTTGGGGTGGGAAGCACTGTGGACCAGGAGGATAAGAGGGGAGGAGGAGGTAGCTGTCACAAGGAGGAGGGACAAGGAAGTGAGGGATCAGTGCTGGGGGAACCTAAAGGAAACAGCATTTCTGGAGAAGATTCTTCAAGGCCCCACCAGCAGAACTCCTGGAGCATTAGTGGTTAGTGACCACATGGCCTTGGTCTCAGTACAGACCATGCCTCCCAGCACCAGGCTGAGGTGACAGGTTCAGGCCTCTATTCCCAGTCAGCAGTTTCTTTTGCAGGAATTAGGGCAGCTTTGGCCTCTATGCTGTCTAGTGCCCTTTCCACCACACCAGCCTACCTCTCTTTAAGGCACTTAAAAACTAATAGAGCAGTCAGGTCTTTCTGACTAAAAGGACCAGGAACAGCAGCCACAGACATGTATTTCTACATATTCATGTGTCCTGCATTGGATTCAGTGAGTCACCTTGGGGAGGTCCCAATTTCCAGAGAATGGAGTAGTTCTCTGAATATAACGGCTTGGGAAGAGAGAGCAGGTAAAATAATTATTGAATTGGAAACAATAGGAAGATGTATCTAGCAGAGAGGAAAACAAAGAGGCACTTATAGGTAGGGGTACCTTGATAAAAAACAAAGTCTCAAAGTGGGTGATGGTAAATGTTACAACCTGCCAGGGTGGACAGAAGGTACAGTGGTTCTGCACCTACAAGCACGGAACTCATACTGACTCACCCCCATGGACTCAGTCCACGACTGAGCTGGAAGGCAGCAGATAGAGTTATACCTTCAGGGAGTTAGGGGAGAAAAAAATGACTAGAGCAGTTGGGACTTGAAAAAAAAATAAGAGAGAGAGAGAGAAAAAAAAAAAAGGATGAAGCTCATGTGTAATACAAACATCCTAGCCACATCAAAGCAAGGCTGGAAATTTGCCTACTCCCTCATCTTCCACATACCTCAGACTGCATGTGTCCTGACTTCTTTAAACCTTCTGCTGCTAGGTTCATCTTCCTAGACAACACCATGGAGTCTGAGGGAAGGGATCAGTGGAACCACAGTAGTTGGTTGCGCAGGGCTTGCCACTAAACCTGCCTCTTGAATAAGGGTCAGTTTGAGCCAAACCTTCTTTCTCCAGTCTCTTAGAGGTCAGTCTGTATAACTAATTCAGACTGTATAACTAATCCATTTAGAACTCACAACCTTCATTATTCCCACCTGCTTCTGGCACATGCAACCTTTGGAAAGTTCTTTGTCCAATCATCATGTAAGGCAGAACAGATACTAGCATAGTGAGTGGTAAGAGCTTGAGCTCTGGAGTCAGTAGTCTTAGCTCTGCCACCGAGCTTGTGTAATCTTGGACTGGTTACTTCATCTTTTAAGCTTCCAACTATCCAACTGTAAAAAGGTATTAATATCTATCTTAACAGGCTGTTGTATAAAGACAGGACATGAATTCAAAGGGTTTTTAGCCCAGTGCCTGGAGCAGAGTATGTACTCAGTTAAAGGTAGTTGATTATGGTGATATTATCATCATAATTTCATTTAGCTCATGTCTTAACCTCCCAGGGAACATTTACTCATAGCACAGGCCACTAATAACTGCTTTCTGGGCTGGATCCCTGCCTAAAGCCACATTCAGAGTTCTGCTCCCCCATACCTTTGCACTTCAGTAACTGCTAGAGAGCAGAGCTGCTTTCATTAGGAGCAGTGGTACTTGGGGCTGGTCTTCACAGGCTTCAGTGTGAGATATTCAACTATGCCAGCTGGTGCCAAAGCCCACCCACATGGGGCAAGGATACAATCTGCACTCATTTGTGAGCATTGCCTCAGGTTCTGCAAATGTTAAGACTGAGCCAGTCCAAGCCAGAAAGCAGATTGGGGAGATGCCAACTGCTAACTGGAGTGATTATAGGCAGTCTCCTAGCTCTCTCCCAGAAAAAAACACCAGCCAACAGCTACCCTGAACGACTTCTGCTCAAGTTAATGAAGCAGTTGAAGAAGCAGAAGCAGCTAATGAAAGCTAAGAACGGGGCTCCTGAGAAAACACTGATGAATCTGTCCCCACTCCTTCACCCCTATGCCCCCTTGTTCTGGGGTCACTCACTCCCTTTCTGCTCTCACCTGTTAGGTGCCTCCATCAGGACAGGTTTCCTCCCTGATGACTTGTAACAGCCCTTTGATGTTATCCTTTGCATTTCTGGGAAATGTAATCAGTCAGATTAACTTCCTATAAGAGATTCTTTAGCCCACTTTTTTTTCAGGTCTGAGGCCTTGAATAAAAAGACCACAGATAAAAATGATGAGAAAACAGGGTACACCATAGAATAAGTTGGTAGTCTGAGTATTAGAGGGATTTCCTCTTTCATTGGATTTTTTCTAATCTTCTGTGTATACACACACACACACACACGCATGCACACACACACACACACATGGGGTTGGGGGAGGTGGGGTGGGGGGAGAGACTTTGTTTCAGCCAGGAAAGGGATTGACAAAGATGTGACGATGATGAAAAGGAGGACAAAAAGATATTCTCATATATAAAGTGAGTACATACATTCCAGAAGGGTCTAGAAAAGGGAAGACATTGTCACTGAGTACCTCATAAGCACCTTGGGTCCCTGTTAGATATCTTATATACAATAACTGAAAACTGAGAGACAGAGAGGTAAAGCAACTTACTCCAAGTCAGAAGTCTTTCTGACTCTCAATCCAGTACCCTTACCCACCTATTCCTTCTCATATATCTAGGATGGCATCAGCTCACAGGCATCCTGGGTTAAAGAGACAAATCAAGCCGGTTTCAACCCCCCAAAATATTTCCCTAAACACCAGTTATGTGCTAGGCACTGGATAAGGCTCATTTGGAAACCTAATATTCTTTTTTTTTTTTAAATCCTCACTGAGGTTATGGAGAGAGAGAGAGAGAGAGAGAGAGAGAGAGAGAGAGAGAGAGAGAGATCGGTATGAGAGAAGTAGCAGGGATTGCAACTGAGTTAGACTGAAGGCTCTTGGAGACCAAGGCATCCATCCTCTTGAGGGGTCTGAGCACAGACTTACTCACAAACTCACTCATTCTGGGCTCCACCACAGGGGCAGCAGCTCGAAAACCACCAGTGACATCTGGGGAGGAGCTGAATTCCCAAGCTTCAGGGTGAGGGCTGGAAGGTCAGAGGTCAGGACAGCTCTCTGTTGGAATGGAAGTGCTGGCAAACACCATTGTTCCCCCCAAAAGCCAGCAGGCACTCCTTAACTTGGTTAACATCATTCACCCTATCCTGGTGATTCCCTGAGACCCCACCCTACCCAACTCGAGTGCACAGACCAAACCTCGTTTGAAGGCTTTCCCACACAAACAGCCTGCCTGACCTCATGCTGTGGACTTTCCTGAAACATCTCAAAGGCCCAGTAATCCCAAACAATCAACAGCTGTACTTGGTATATGCTGGGGTCCAACCCCAGCAGGTCCAGGGGTCCCCAAAGGTGTGGACGGAGTCAGCGAAGAAGGAATGACACGGAGACAGCGTTCAGTTGATCAGCAGCCTTGCCAGGATCTCTAGCCACAATCTCCAGCCAAGTTCTGTGTCCATGTTCTCTTGCTAGGTTCTCCAGCCACATTATCCAGGTTCTCCAGCCAGGTTCTGTAGCCATGTTCTCTCGCTAGGTTTGAAGGGGTTTTATTCCCTCCCTAACGTCAGGAGAAAATCTCTACCTGGGGAAACAACCTTTCTTGGAGAGGTGAACTTGGTTAAAACACATAGTGCCAAGAAGGTGAGCAAACATATTAAGAACAGTATGCCATATATGCCAGGTCCCTTGAAACAGCAAGGATGGACCGGCTCCCGGCAGGTATATCCTTTACCTCTTGCTAAGTAGCTCCAAGCCTGGCACTAGTGGCAGCCAGCCTCAGTTCAGAGCTTACCTTTTCTCAGCACCCTCCAAGCCCAGCACAGGTGACAGTCAACTACAGATCACTTTCCAGCTCCTATCAGGTGGCCCTGAATCAGGCACAGGCAGTGACTGAACTTGGCCTATACCAAAGTTCCTCCCAAGAGGTCCCAGAACCAACACATCTGGTGCCTGGCTTTAGAACATACCAGGGCACCACCCAATCAGCTCCACAAATGACATACCCCAAAGGATGGACTTAGTAGGCACCAGGGCCCAGCTGAAGCAAATCCCACTCAGTGGGGTCAGCCCCCCAACAAATAGGTCATTTGCTACAGTCACACTCACTTCTCATAGCCAGTCAGCTTAAGAATCAATTCCTCCAAGTGATGTCACAGCAGCAGTCAAGGCTCCACTATAACAAGAAGACACATACAATCCACAAAAGGGATACCAATGGAGTACCCAGCTCAGACGACCAAGGAAAAGGACACATACTATCTACAGCCACTCTACCAAGACTGAGAGATACAACAGTTCTACCTATAAACAAACACAGGGAGGCAGTCAAAATGAGGAGACAAAGAAACATGAAAAACAGGATAAAATTTCAGAAAAAGAACTAAACAAAATGGAGACAAGCAATCTATCTGATGCAGAGTTCAAACACTGGTTATAAGGATGTTCAATGACCATAGGGCAATAGTAGATGAACTCAGTGAGAACTTTAACAAAGAGATAGGAAACAAAAAATAACCAGTCAGAAATGAATACAATAATTGAAGGATACATTAGAGGAAATCAACAGTTTATTAGATGATGCAGAGGATAAAATTAGTGATTTAGAAGAGAAGATAGAGGAAAACACCTTATCAGAACAGCAAAAACAAAAACAGAAACTGAGGAGAGTTTAAAGACTTCTAGCTGACATCAACCATACCAACATCCACATCATAGGGATGCCAGAAGAAGAGAATTCATTTTTCAGTGCCAATAGTTTTTTCTTTTTATTGTTTAAAGTATTGCAAATAGTACTGTCTCCTTTTTCACCCATTGACCTCCCCCTGGCCTCCTCTATCCCCTGA